TCTTATTCTTAAGTTTTATTCCTTACTTTACTCTTATTATTTAGTTATTATAAAAAGCAGTCTGTAAATACAGTAGTTCCTTAGTTTTTTAACTCTTCTTGTATTCCTACTTGTTCTCCTAGTATAAATCCTAGCTGGTAGCTTTAGGAATATAGTTAGTTTAAGGGCTGCAGGTCTACATTTACAGTTTGAGAGTACTATCAACCTAGAGAACACATCTCTCCTAACATACTCTATTATAATATTACTTTGTAACCTCAACCAAAGACAAGTCATTTAGTAGAATGCTTACATAGAGAGGGGATCAGGAAAGAGTATAATGTCTAATAGTAAGACATAGGAAAAGACTAGGAGAAAACCTGTTTAAAAGAGATAAAGAAAAGATTATTACTTACTTAATAAAAAGAGAAACTATATAGTTAGTTAAGAATGCTTTGTACAAAGACAAAGGACTATCAGAGCTAGTAAAGAGCTAGAGTCAGTACTCTGAAGCTCTATACTTAAGGAGGACTAGTACTAGTATAAAGAAAAAGGAACTGAGAGCTCTAAAGAGAGACTATAGGAAAGTAGTCTCTTATATACACTTTACTTATATAGATAGGAAAGTAATAAAGTTATAACATAAGAACTACATAAGGACAATATGAGGAATACATGAGACAATCTAGAACTCTAGTTGTAAGTTCTAGGATTGAATACAGAAGTATAAAGATAAGACTAAAAGTTAATAAGAATAATTGTCTCCTAAACTAAGTCAATTGAAGAAGACTTAGAGAAGTAACTAGAACTCTGGTTGTTAGTTCTAGAGTGTACACAAGACAGTCTAGAACTTTAGTTGTAAGTTCTAGGGGTAGTACAAAGTAACAGCCTTTTATATTATAAAAGTCATAAGGAGTTATTAGAAGTCATAATACTCTACCTTATAAGAAAGTGTATTATAAACTAGTGTACAGAAAGTACAGGTTGAGTCAGGTTGAGTCAAGAGAAGACTATAAGAACAATATAAAGCTCTACACTATAGAAAAAGTATTACACAGCTTAGAAAGTATAACTAGTTAGAAGGACTTATAATGAGTTATTAGAAGCTTGAGAGGAAGTATAGAAGATATAACAATACAGTAAAGGAGTTATGTAGAAAGGGTAGGCATATAAGAACAAGAGGTAAGGTAATAATTGACTACTTAGTGTCTCTTGTCCTTATATTACATGTATTCTAACTGAGACATTATAAAGTCATTGTCTTATAATAAAGTCATCATTCTATAATACTCTCCTTTAAACTCTTACTAGTCTGAGTAAACTGGTAAGATGTTTGACTTAAAGTACATATAGTACTTTTGTTAATATATCTGCTCTTTGATTGTTTGTCTGTATGTATTTTGCATTTATGTACTCTAACTCAATATAGTATTTAATAAAATCTTTCTTATAATCTAAATGCTTTGTCTGTTCTGAGTATTTGAGTTTGTCTAATGTAACTGTTTGTATAACAGTATCATTATTATAATAAATATTAATTAGTGCTTCAGAGACCTGCAGAATCTCTTTAGCTAAATGAGTAAGTACAATTACTTCTTGTGTTCCTCTTGTAAGAGCTATTAATTCAGCTTTATACATTGAATTTGCTACTAGTGTTTGTCTTTTACTCAACCACAAAACTAATGAATTGCTCAAGTAAAATGCATATCCTAATATTACACAATGCCCTTCTTGTATTATACTGTCTGCATCTGTATATCTGTTTAATATTGATTGATTTGTACTACTGAGTTGGAGCCAGACATTTTTTATAGTTTTTAAGTACATGTAACAGTGTTTAAGTACTAGATAATACTCTATACTAGGGTCATTAAGGTATTTTGCTAACTGATTTGTTACAAATGCTATATCTGACTGTACACAGTCTGTAATGTATCTAAGTACACTAACCATGTTTATATATAGTATTTCAGACATTTGTTTTCTATCAGTATTGGTTTGTAATACTGTTCTTAATTGTGTACCTGGTTGTATAAGTGTTTGTATACTCTGTTCATTTGTAAGTTCATAACATTCAATTATACTATTAATATAATGTGTATAACACATCCTAATGAATCTATACTCTCTGTTGTGTTGAATCTCTATACCAAGTAGCTAATGTAATTCTCTACTATCAGTATATTATAAATAATGTACAATAGATTGTTTTATTATTATAATAGTATTATTGTTTATTACCACAATAGTAATATTGTCAATATGTACAAATAATATGGCTACAGTTATTTCTTTCTTCTTTGCAAAGAATACAGTGTTATCATGTTCGGATTTTGTTAATCTACACTTAAGTAGTATATTAGATAGTGTTTTATACTATCTTCTACCAGCTTGTTTTAATCTGTATAGTGCTTTTTGTAATCATAATATTTGTCCATTCTGTAATCTGTTTATTAAGTTACCTGGAGGAGATTTAACATATATTTCTTTGTCTTCTGTTAATTGTCTATATAGATATGCTAATTTAATATCTATCTAATGTATTTTATAATTATTAGATACTACTTATACTAATATTAATTACACTGTAGATAGTCTAGCAGTAGGAGCAAATAAATTGTCTGTATAATAGTCAAGACTGTCAATCTGATAGTTTCCTTGAACTACTAATTGTGCTTTGTATTTTTCAATACTATTGTCAGTGTATTACTTTATTTTATAGACAAATTGTGTTCTGATAACATTAATATTATTGTATAGATACAAGATTTCCTATGTATTATGATTTTCTAATTGTTTTATTTTGTCTTTCATAGCTTTTATTCATGAATCATAGTCCAGACATTGAATTGCTTCATAAAATGAAGTCATCCGATTGTATTTCACTT